CAGTCAACCTAACCTACCTCACAGGGTTGTATGGGGATTAAATTAGGAGAGGAGAAAACCATATAAACCCTCTTGAGCTCCTTAGAGAAACAAGTGTGCTATAAACATATGTATGTATGTATGTATGTGTGTCTGTGTGTGTGTGTATGTAAAGAAGGCTGATCACCAAAGAATTGATGCTTTTGAATTATGGTGCTGGAGAGAGACTCTTGAGAGTCCCATGGACTCAATTCTTAAGGAAATCAGCCCTGAGTGCTCACTGGAAGGACAGATCCTGAAGCTGAGACTCTAATACTTTGGCCACCTCATGAGAAGAGAAGACTCCCTGGAAAAGACCCTAATGTTGGGAAAGATGGAGGGCACAAGGAGAAGGGGACGACAGAGGACAAGATGGTTGGACAGTGTGCTCAAAGCTACCAGCATGAGACTGACCAAACTGCGGGAGGCAGTGGAAGACAGGAGTGCCTGGCGTGCTCTGGTCCATGGGGTCACGAAGAGTCGGACACGACTAAACGACTAAACAACAACAACTGTGTGTGTGTGTGCGCGCGCGCGTGCGTGTGCACGCATGTATGCCACAGATTGTACCCACCAATAAAACAACAAAAACCTACCAGCCTAAAGGGGTGCAAGTTTTAGAAATGGCTAGGCTGTTCCCAAAGTTGGAGCTTGTCTTTCAGCTTCATAAATCCTGATGTCAAAGTCCGGTCATTTGTTCAGCTCCCTGCGAGATCAAAAGCAGAGTGAGATTCTACAGTGCATGGATTCCCTGCATTTTTGAAACTTTTTTTGATTAATCATGAGTTGCTCTGGCAGCCTTCTCAAATGCTCTGCAGCCCTCATTTAATCATTCACAGTCAAAGTGCTGACTCGGCCTGATCGCAGCCCGCATGATCAGAGCACAAAGGAGAAGGGGAAAGGAAAGCACCGGGCCCCAAGATGCTGGGGAGCTCAGCAATTCACTTGGATCCTAATTCATTTCTGGGCTTCTGTTGGGTTCCTTGGGGAAAGTGTAGAACCTGTGGCCTTCCACTGATGGGAAAAATGAATAATCTCAATGGCTGTTGGGTTCTATGGTGTCACATACCAGATTTATGGGTCAGTAAATAAATGATTGTCTTCCATAGCCGAGAACAGCAAAATATCATTGTTATGCATCTTTCATCAGAAAATATTATAAGCTGTAGGGCTCTTTTAAGTGCATCTGAAGGAATCTGTGTTGCCAATAACCTCAAGCAAAACTGTCCAGAAAATTAGTGGACCAGTTTTCTTCTTAGCATATAGTGGTGTGCAGTGATTTGCTGTCTTGGGTCACAGGGCAGTGCAGAAGAACCTAATTAAGCCTGCTGAGTCATCCCATTTGGCCCACTGGGCGTTTTGGCCAAGAAATGCCACCTATCCTATACCTGATGTCATATTAGACATGGGGAGTTGGTTGTGCCAGTACCTCTGGCCTGAGGAGGCTATGTTGCCCTGCTCGGATTCCTAGGTATCCAGCTCAGAAACCTTAGTCTTCCTCTGCTGGAGTCGGCAACGGCTAAAGGAGGCTGGGACCCTTCAAATGAAGAGGCTGCTTTTGTGGAAAACTACTGAGATTCTCAGATAGAACTGCAGCTCCTCTTTAAGGTTCAGTCTGACGATGACTGCTGCTGAAACAACATTTGTACTTTGCTCCTTTGGAATCTCCAGCCTGAGTCCTGCAAGGAGCTGTCCAGGGTGCCACTGAAACCATATCTAGGCTAAGGCCATCACTGCTCGAAACAGAACAACTTGCTCTGTCTTTCTGCGGCTGAAAGAAATAATTCTGGTTCACAAAATTATAGCGTCGAGGAGGGATTCATAACAACAATACAAAATTTTTAAATCCCAGATATTTATACTATCTAATACTGAAACCAAATCATATGACCTTATTTGACTCAATGAGGTAAACGTGAGTTTGCTTTTCACTCCTGATGAATTTTGTTGCATTGAACAGGACTTACGAATTCCAGAGTCGTCATAATCTGGAGAATGTTTCATGTGGTGCTTCTTGGAATACATCAGATCATTCACAAGGCCAGTTCAACACCCCTGAAGGCACTGGGGGAAAGTTGATTTCTCCCCCACCCTATGTGGGTGCTACTGTATCAATCACATTGGTGTAAATCAGTCTTCAGAGACTCTCCTCCTCCATTTGTTTCCCTACAGCACAAAAGTATGTGTGTCTTGTCCTGAAGAAGTGAGTCTTGTGTGAAACATCTGATGACTCCATTTCCTTGGCCTTGTATTATTTGCTAATTAAACCAGAACTATCACCCCATAGTTCCATATACATCATTATTAATGCAGACTGTATTCTGTACTTTGTTCATACGCTTACCCTGAATCCATATCACCATTTTAAACCCCCTTGATATCTGAGTACTTTGGAATGTTTAAGTGGTCAGCTGTGCCACCACATAAAGCCATATATACAATGTGTCCTAGGCCTGTGTCCTATTTAAAGCATTTTCTTTGTTCCTGAAGTTTATTCCTCATGTGTGTTATCAAATTGACTTGAGTGGAGGCAGATGGATGATTTACACTGCCTGTGGATTAGGTTTGGAGCTTCTTCACCCAGACATGTACAGCAGAGAGTAATCATAATCATAAGCAAAAGATACATTGTTGGCAAAGGCTATTCTCATCGGAATCTCAGGTTGTTGGCTAGGAAGACTTCCTTATGGTCTAATCCAATCACTGCAGATGACTAACATGTTCCACTTGCCTCCCTCGTTGTCATCTGCGTTGTCTTGAAACATTTCTCAGCTCTCATAGATGCAGCTTGTTGGATTCACACGCATACACATTGGTGCCGCTTTGATGCCAGTTGAAACAAACTTCCATCTGTTAATCCAACAAATTGACCACTTGAGTTTGTTCTGTCCATGAAACATTGGTGTAAATCCTTTTTCAGGTGCTCAGAATTCATGGATAATCAAAACTGGCATCACTGGGCACCTGCTGAGGGCAGCAGCCCAGTGGCAGACACCACTGCCAGTCTTTGATCCTTGTGCTTTCTCCTCAATGTCTCTCCCTCTTCACTTTTCCTCTTCAACCTTTGGTCCTTCAGATGTGGCTGACCTATAGCTCTCATCAGTCCCACCAAGCATGGCCAATGGCTAGGGATGGTGGGAGTTGTCGCTCAGCCACCTCTGGAGGCCCAAAGGTTCTGCAGGCAACGAGGAACCCTGCAGCTGTCATCTTAATTTGCCCAGAGGCAGATCTTTGCTATGGATCTGCACCCTGCTTGAGACAATTGCCCACATCATTCCCAATATTCAGTATGGGAGTTCCTCACTTCAGAAAATGGAGACAGAAAGATATGTGTGACAGTAACCAGAAAAAACAGCAATAACTTTGTGCAGAGTTTAGTTTCAAAGCACTGCTTAACTTTCTTTAGGCAGGTGAAAATGATCATCTCCCTGAAAACTCCCACTTTGGGCTCTCATGTATTGAACAGACTTGGAATCATTATTGGTCACCACACTCTGTCCTCTGTTTTCCTTTAGGCTACTTGCATCTATTGTTTTCTTTCCAGTCTGCTAATTATACCTACTCTGGCAAACGACCGTGTGACATCAAATTCAATGTGATGTGCACTCAAGCTCAGTCAGATTTAATCTGCAGCTGCAAAGGATAGCCAAGCCAGTGGCTGTACCAAGACAGTTAACAAAAGGGCAGCTTTTCCAGTACTTGTTGGTGCAGAAAGAAAATGCAGAGGGAGAGGAAGCGCCCATCAGATATTCTGGCTCAGGGCCATTCAGTCCAAGGCAGGCAAAATTCCAGGTAATCTGAAAACTGGGAAGGAGCTCGGGACTTTGATAGGCCAATGCATTAGAATCTACACTATGTTAGGTTAATGGCATTTACGACTGTTTCTCACAATCGGAAACTCCCATTCCATTTACAGCAAACTAAAATACAGTAATAAAAATACATAAACATTAAGTCATTGGTACTGCACATATGCCTGGAAAAACAAAAATGTCTTTGTCTGGCACCGAAACAATGAGCGTAAGAATAGGCAGCTGGATCAGAGCAATGGCCCATCTAGTCCAGCATCCTGTTCTCACAGTGGCCATCCAGATGCCTATGGGAAACTGACATGCAAGACCCGAGCACAAGAGCACTCTCCCCTCCTGCGGTTTCCAGCAATTGGTATTTAGAAGCATTACTGCCTCCAACCATAGTCATATTAGCCATTGGTAAAACTTTTCCTCCATGAAATGGTTGAAACCTCTTTTAAAGCCATCTAGGTCGGTGGCCATGGAATGCGGGTGGCGCTGTGGGTTAAACCACAGAGCCTAGGGCTTGCCGAACAGAAGGTTGGCGGTTTGAATCCCTGTGACGGGGTGAGCTCCCGTTGTCCGGTCCCTGCTCCTGCCAACCAAGTAGATAAATAGGAACCGCTCCAGCGGGAAGGTAAATGGCATTTCCGTGTGCTGCTCTGGTTCGTCAGAAGCGGCTTAGTCATGCTGGCCACATGACCTGGAAGCTGTACACCAGCTCCCTCGGCCAATTAAGCAAGATGAGCACCACAACCCCTGAGTCGTCTGCGACTGGACCTAACGGTCAGGGGTCCCTTTACCTTTACCTTTACCTTTAGGTTGGTGGCCATCACTGCCTCCTGTGGGAATGATTTCCATAGTTCAATAAACACCACGTGAAGATGTACTTTCTTTGATATGTCCTGAATCTTTCAACGTTCACCTTCTTTGGATGTCCATGAGTTTTTCCATTATGACAGAGGGAGAAAAAAACTTTTCTCTATCCACTTTTTCTATGCTATGCATGATTTGATAAAGTTCTATCAAGTCAACTCTTACTCATCTTTTTTTTTCTAAACAAAAATTTCCCAAATGCTGCAACCTGCTGAAGAGTTACTCTTTTCCTTTGATCATTTTAGTTGTCACTTTCTGAACCTTTGCCAACTCTACAACATCCTTTCTTGAGGTCAGTGAGCACCTAGTATCTCAGTAGCTCAGTGGTAGGGCATCTGCTTTGCATGGATATGGTCCCAAGTTCAAGCCCTGGCATCTCCAGAGTGGATTAGCAGAGACCCCTGTCAGAAAAAAACCCCTCTGCCAGTCAATGTAGATAATACTGAACTGGATTGACTAACTCAGGGGTTCTCAGTGGTGGTGTGCCACCCTGGTGTGGCAGGAGAGGATGACAAGAGTGGTCAGAAGATTCAAGGACAATCAGAGGCAACCATTTTGGGCGCTTCCAATTGACACGTGATCACCAATGCACAGGTCCTTTTAGATCAGGGGCAGAATGGGGTGTGTGTGGAACAGAGGCAGGGTGAAATGGGGGCAGAACAGGACATAACATGGCAGGGTGTGCAGGGAAAAGAACTCCCACACAAAATGGTAGTCGCCTGTATTATATTTTAGGAATGATTCATGTTCTTTTGTAGCTGCATGGCTTTGTACTTTCTGGGTGCCTCATAATATGATCATATTATAAAGTAGTTGTGTTCTTCTATGTTATAAATCAAGCACTGCTAGGACTTGTTTTCTTTTTGTTCTCTGGTGTATTTTTTGTCAATACAAAATTCGGTGCGGCCTGAGCAGATTTTTATTCTGAACGTGTGGCCCAGAGAAAGAAGTTTGAGAACCGCTGGACTAACTGGTCTGATTCAGCATAAGGCAGCTTCCTGTGTACCTAAACTTAAGAGAGATTTCCTATTCCCCGGGGCTCTAACGGACCAGGTTCCATTTTCATAACATTGTTACTGTAGCTCCCCGCAGTATTGGTGCCAATGGAAATTCTTTGCTGAAACAAGGGCTTTCCAATTGCTTTCAAAGGAGACGGTGAAAGCTGTTGTTCCTAAATCATTTTCTTGATGCAAAACAGATTTTGTGTTGACTTGGCAAACTCCAAGAGAGGAATGAAGATGAAAGAGATGACAGAAGTGTCAGCGTTTCTGAGACTCCCCACCTCTCTGGCCAAAGGAATCAAAATCAGCAACGAGCATTGCTGGGGAATGGAAAAGAATAGGAAGAGAATCTGCAAGATAACATCTGCTCAAGTGTCAGAATTCATTAATGGGGAGAAGGGGGAAACAGCAGGCACACTTGGGGTAGCTGGAAAATCTGTGATTCTAAGCAAATGTGCAACTTGCCATCATATTATTATAGTTTTCTTCAGCTGTGATTACACCCTGCAGATCAAAAGAATTCTGGGCCAGCTTAAGGAGTGCATGAAAAGCTTAAGTGTATCTTGTTGCTCACGGTCTTGTATGCTCTCTGCTCACAAATTGGATTGTGAATGCAATAAAAGTTGGAAATGCTGGGTAAAGGCGATACTTAGGAATGGTGAAGTCATGTATAAAGTAAACAAATGGGGAGGCAAGGTTGTATATATAGCCCATTTATGGCATGCTTGGGCTGATACCAGATGTGTGCACCTTTTAGGGGAAAGATCTATGGCTTTGAAGGAAAAGAAGAAATAATTGACAATATAAAGTTATAGAAGTTCATAAAACTTCCCTCTATGCAATGGCCAAGCCTAAACTATTAGTGAAATAATCGCGGCAAGGATCTGGTTCCCCTTCCAACCGTCTTCTGAGAGTTACCCACGGCTTGTGTGCAAGTCAAGATGTGGCATGTATTAGTAGAGGCACTTGGGTAAAGCAGATGGAGTCTGGAGAGAAACATCCTGGTACATGTTTGGTGAACAAAGTGGTGGAGGTGAGGGGCGTGTATGTTGCTAAGCAGAAAGATGAAGGGAGGGTTTGCCTTCTTGACAGCCTATTAGCATGTGCTGCTTCAGTAAAGATCATGCCACCTTCCGTGTTCACTATGCAACACTTTCAACCTGCTCTTAGGAAGCTGGCTAACACTGAGACCAGAATTAACCCTTAAGTTGCAAACTGAATGATCTCTGTTGTAGCACTTCCAAAGGCAGGTGGCGCCATGCCCATCCTGATGGCCCTTGATTCTGAAAGCAAAACAGGGTCTACACAAAGCAATCCCTTAAGGGGACAGACCAGGCACGCAGGATGAAGTGAAGCAAATTTGGGAGATTTCCAACTCCATGCATATGCAAAGCGCAACTTGTCAATTGCATAGGCCAGTTGCCCCTATGCATGCATCTGGTGTAAAACTTCTTGCAGATTTGCATTACAGCAATTGCAGCCTTTATTAAAGGGTTGGGGAGCGGCTGTCATCTCTTAGCTCATTTTTTGACCTTGTACTCCAAGTGTATAGAAGACCAACAAACCCAGTTGCCTGGGGGTGGGGAGAGGGTGCTGGCATGGCGAGGTTCAGATTGCCCATTGCAAATCAATGCTTTCTTTCTTTCTTTCTTTCTTTCTTTCTTTCTTTCTTTCTTTCCTTACATACTTGGCCTTTATGCCAAAATGCTATCATTTCCCCCACTGGGCCTCTTGCCTCACTCTGCGGGGTGTCCTGCCCTTTGCAGAACTAGGACAGGGGGGCTAAGAAAATAATAATTCTGCAGGGATACTTACAAATAGTGCCATAAATTACAGGAAATCATTAGGAAAGAGACACGCAAACTCTAATCTTCTTTGACTTCTCTTGGGGCTGCTCTAGGCTTAGCTCTTGAGTCATGCCAACATCAATGGCCACCAACCGTTAGTGGAATTTCTCTGCCGTAGTAGGATGACTCCATTTAGATCACAGGGTATAAAGTTTAACAGAGTTTGCAAGCAAAGCAGCTTTGCTTACAATATATTGCTGCGATTGGCTTTTAGGGTCAGATCTTATCACTGGATCGTGGGGAGGGGGGATCTTTTCTTGGCCATAGATGAAACTGAGCCACTTTAGCTCTCGAATAAGCTAAAAGAGGTAAGCTCTAGCTGGCTTCTATAAGATATGTCTTATGTCAAGATCCTGCTCAGCCAGGGAAGACCTCCTAGGAGGAAGAAGGTGGGACCCCACTGAGAGCCCTAGTACAACTGGGGACCTGCAAGAACCTGCTATAGTCCTAAGGTGGTCCATAGTACTTGGTCTGACAGATGTATTGTCTCTGACTCTGATGGGAACTCAGGGCAGCCAATTCTGGTGGGGCTCACTGTCTGTAACAAAACAGCTGATTGGCACTGACAGTGAGTCTTGCTTATAAATGAACGATTGGGAGCTTACATACCATGCCAGGTATGGGGCAGTGGACCCAGTTGGAAGCCCAAGGTCAGTGTAAGAGCAGCCATTTGGCTGCCAGGAAGCTTTCTTGCCAGGGGTCTGCTTGGGAGAATGGCTCCGCTCGAAAGGAGGGAGAAGTCAGAGTAAATCCAATGGTGAGTGAATCCACCAAGCAAGTGATGTGAAAGGGGATGGGGCTGGCCATGGAGAAATCAGCCTGCTGGGATAATAATTGCTTCCCGCTGAACTCCTGCTTGAATGCTTTTGCTCAGAACCTCTTCCAGCTTTTCTCTTAGCTTCTACATTCCTCCCTTGTAAAACGACTTTCTCTTTCAGCATCTCTGCTTCAGCCTAAGAGAGGTCTATATAGCAGATTTTCTCTAGTGTGACCTCACCTCATGCGATTTGTATATTATTGATGGAACAGTTTTATTAATTTATGCTGTTTTATGAGAGTTTTATGATGTTCACTGCTTAGATGTTTTAGGATTAAATAGTATACAAAAGTGTATAATAAATAAATGTATACGTCTTCCTCCCTTGCAGGTGCCAGTCATTAGAACAGGGATTGTGGCACCTCAAGCATGAGGGCCAAATGTGGCCCTCCAGGTGTCTCTGTCTGGCCCTTGGGATCCTCCCCTGTGAAACATCCTCTTCCTTGGCCACTTACCAGCCCTGCCTTAACTGTATTTGCCTGTCTGGAATATGTCCTTGAACTCTGATAATGATTCTTGTCTGGACTGAGAATAGAAGAGCGCTCTTTTTGTGTTTGTAGAAGCTAGCTTACTGCTGTTGGCATCCACCTGTCTTGAGAGACAATGGTGTGTGCCTCGGGGGGGGGGAGGAGTCGTCAAACCACTGGAGAATCACAGCACCTGCTGTGGCTGCAGAGACCGGTAACTCGTAACTGCTGCCTCTCACATTGTTTTTGCTACGTTAGCAGCACCAAAGTGACCTCTCTGTCGTGCCCATCACTTGCATTTGCCCCCCCCCAGGCAGCCCTCAGCCTGAAACAGGTTCAGCCATGTTTTCCACATGAGGCAAGCTCATATTTGCATTAAACTAACTTACTAACCACTGGCAATAATGCCACATATGATGCTGTAATACAGGGGTCAGCAAACTTTTTCAGCAGGGGGTCGGTCCACTGTCCCTCAGACCTTGTGGGGGGGGGCGGCGGACTATATTTTGGAGGAAAAAATGAACAAATTCCTATGCCCCACAGATAACCCAGAAATGCATTTTAAATAAAAGCACACATTCTATTCATGTAAAAACACACTGATTCCTGGACCATCTGCGGGCTGGATTTAGAAGGCGATTGGGCCCCCGGGTCTTAGTTTGCCTATCCATGCTGTGACATATCTACAAATCTCTTTGGATAGGCCCATCTGCTGGTCCCTGCCCCATTGGCCCTGCAGAGGGAGCTGTTGCAGAGCCAACATGGGCCCTGCCACCTGCCTTGCACCAGGAGCAGGCAGTAGGAGGTAGATCGGAATCTACCGGTAGATCTGGATGAGTTCAGTAGGTTGGTGAGGACTGTTGTCTACAAAATTTTATCAACCACAATGCTGAAAGTTTCTGCCGTGGTGACTGGCCTGGTGCTAATTGCTTCTCTCTCAGCCTCTCTTGTAAAATATGAGTAACAATTGATTGTCTTTGATGGACTCCTGTCCATTCTGAGATGTAGATCTGTATTTGTATATGCCAGCCTTTCTCAGCCTGGTGCCCTGCAGGGCTGATGTTTTAAAAAGGTTGTTAATTATCTGTTGTTTGTAGACAATGATATGAACGAATACAGTGGTACCTCGGGTTACGTACTTAATTCGTTCTGGAAGTCCTTACTTAACCTGAAACTGTTCTTAACCTGAAGCACCACTTTAGCTAATGGGGCCTCCTGCTGCCGCTGCACAGCCGGAACACGATTTCTG